TGCTGAACTGCAGATAGCAGTCAGCTGAAGTGGCCTGCAGTACTGCACTCTAACCACTGTGCCACCTCAGCTCAGTCCTTAAGTCCTCTTTAATATGTGCTTTACTAAATTTATGCATTTGTTCATTTTCAGAGGTGGGACCCTTCATCTCTTCATGTTCTCTTTCATCACTAGACAAAGTTTACCTTATTACCAGAATCCAGCTTCTCTCTCTTTTTTTCACCTGTGGTGTCCCCATTTTTGTGGTGAGTGGTTTATATGTTTCTTTAACAACTGCAGTATTTTTTTCAAATCCTGCCTGCAAGGCAGAGGTGGGCTCCTACCGGTTCGGACAGGTTCGGTTGAGTAGGTAGTAACTCGGCCAGCCACGCCCCTGAACCGGTTCTCTACGCTGCGCTATAGACACCACCATCTTGTTTTTTGCTTTTGCACATGCGCAGAACCATTTTTTTAGTACTGCACATGTGCATGTGCACGGCACATGTCTGAGCAAACTGGCAGTAGCAGCAGCCAGAACCCACCCCTGCTACAAGCTATCCACTCCCACTATACCTCTCAATCTCTTATCCTCTGTTCTCCATTCCTGTGTCAGGCCAAAAATGCCTTTTCTGGGAGGGTCACTCACAAAGGTTATGTGATCACTTCTTGCAACCTCAAATTTGGGTCAATTTGGGTCTGACTCAGTGGTGAAATTCAAACATTTTTACTACCGGTTCTGTGGGCGTGGTTTGGTGGGCGTGGTGCGACTTGGTGGGCATGACTTGGCGGGCATGGCAGGGGAAGGATACTGAAAAATCTCCATTCTCACCCCACTCCAGGGGAAGGATAGTGCAAAATCTCCATTCTCTCCCCACTCTGGGGCCAGCCAGAGGTGGTATTTGCCGGTTCTCCAAACTACTCAAAATTTCCACTACTGGTTCTCCAAAACCTGTTAGAACCTGCTGGATTTCACTCCTGGTCTAACAGAATTAGGCAGAGAAAGAACCTGACTTTGACTTGGTCATTTCTAAGAAGGGAGGCAAAAGGCCTTTATTCTGATGGTTGAAATAGCAGGAAATACTCTGATTGCTATATCACATTACTTATTAGACCAGTAAACAATGAAAAAAAATGCCATTAAGCCTACATTTTCAAGCAATTTCTTTCCAATAACACATATTCAAAAGAAAAAAGATGATTACCTAAACAATCACAAGATATTTCACTACATGCACTACCAGGAATTCACTCACCTTATGATGGAGGCCAGGGGAAATCCTAAACTGTCCTTGGAATGGCAGGGACTCTGCAAGCTATTTTTCCATTTTTGTCTTGCTTCCTCTTCCCGTTCAGTCCAAGGAACATCTGTGGCAGAACTGGTTCCAGAATCTGGATCCAGAAGAGCCAGGGGGGCAAAATTCTGCTCAGTGGTTTTAGTGCTGTCTTGAATTTCCTCCTGAATTTCTGGCTTAAGAGTAGGAAGATCAAAGGTGAAGACAGTTCCATTTTGTATCTGAGTGGGAGAAGACAAGATATCTATGGAATCTAGGCTGGTATAAGAAGTTCCTTTGGCTCGATGTGACTCCATGATGCTCTCAAAATGCTTGCTGAATGAATCCATACTATCCTTGGAAATGTTCTGCCCAAAGAGGAAGGGTACAGGGGACTTGATTAATTGAGAATTTCTGTTGATGACCCTGGTGATGATATGTGGCAGTAAAAAGAAAAGAAAGAGAAGTTATATTCGCCTTTCCCAACCTTGTTTCCAAGTTTCAATGAACTCCTGCATAAAAATTGCATTTTAAAAAATAAATAAAACCTCACAATATAGTTCACTTCTAGCCTGCATCACCCACGTTTTACACAGGGGTGGGTTTCAGCTGGTTCAAACCGGTTCGGGTGAACTGGATGTTAATTTTAATTTGGTTTGCTGAACTGGTAGTTCCGATGATCAGCTGGCCACGCCCCCTCCCAGGAGTCTCTACACAGCCTGTTTTGGATGCCAGGTAAGTACAAGGCTCACGCGGTGGGTCTGGGAGGGTGAAAAATGGGCCTACCAGAAGTACTGGAAGTCAAGAAACGAGCCTGTTTCCAACCTCCGGAGGGTCTCTGGAGCCTGGAAGAGGCCATTTTCGCCCTCCCGGAGGCTTGAGAAAAGCCTCTAAAGCCTTGGAAAGGCAAAAAACAAGCTTACAGAAAGTACTGGAAGTCCAGAAATGGGCCTTCGGAGCCAGGGCAGGCTGTTTTCACCCTCCTGGAGGCTCAAGAAAAGCCTCCAGAGCCTGGGGAGGGCGAAAATGCCCCTCCACCATGGTGCAGGAAACTGAATAGGCCATGCCCACCCAGAAATTGGGCAGAGAACCGGTTGCTAAAAAAATTTCAATCCAACCTCTGGTTTTACAGCAATATGGCAAGTCAGTCAGTTATTCAAATAGCTGTGCATAAAAATTGCTATCACTGGGAATTCTAGTGTTGTGTAGCACATTAAATTCAAACAGCAATGCAGCAATTAAAGAGAATACTTATTTAATTATCCACATATTAACTGCAGCTAGAATTGTATTTGAACAACATTGGAAGAGTGAACAGATTTCTATTGATGAGAAAGCGATCAGGAAAATATTAGAACGTGCAGAAATGAATAGATTAACATTAATAATCAAAGAGAAGGAACAAATGGAATATTATGAGATATGAGAAGTATTCTATCAATGGTTAGAGAAAAAAGGGAAATTGGAAATGAGGGAAGAAGACTAAAGGAGAGATTCAGAAATCCTCACCTGTCCTGCTGATGTACCATGGCTTCAGATAGTTCACAAACTTTATTCCGCTGGTTCTTGTGGTCTAAAGCTTTGCTATCCTCTTCCATGGCATGCTGAAAAAAGAGGTCATTTGGAACAACGTTTGCTTTCCTTGGCATTCCCGCAGAACTAAAATTGCTCTCGCTGTCCTTCTGGCTCTCAATGGCTGAATCCACTTCTTCCTTCTCAGCCAAAATATCATCAATGTTTGTCTCGTGGTAGCATCTCAAGGGGATAGAGTCCAGGTCAGTCTCTGAATACTTCACTGTTCTGCGGATTATTCCAGTTTCACAATTTTCAAACGTCGTGTTACCTGGTGGCGTCATCTCAATTTCTACCTCTACGTGACACAGACTGTGTTCTGGCCTCATCAGCTCTGGTTTTTGTTGCACTGACAGTTTGGATTTCTCAAGTGAAGGATCAAGAGCATTCTGAGACGGCATTCCTAGAATACAGAGATTCCATATTACAAACAAAATATACTTATGGTTCCTAAGTGATTCTGGCTCTTTGTGTATAACATTTGCTCAGTACATCTATAACAAACATGTCAAACTCAAGGCCCACAGGTGAGATCCAGCACATGATGTGGTTCGATCTGGCTCATGGGGCCTCCTTGGAAAAAGCAAGGGGTAGGCTTCCATTGCCTGAGTACTGGCCCAGCACTACCTGGCCTGGCCTTTTACCTGGGCACGTGTATAGAGGCGGCAAGTGTGGGGTGGGGGCTGGCATCCCCAATAAAAGGGAGGCACTCAGAATGTGGTCAGCCTGTGGGGTAAAATGGTCACTGGGGATGCCAGTCCCCTTGTACTCGCTACCTCCTATGCACACACTCAGGGGGACAACCAGGCTGAGCTGAGCTGGGCCAGCCCTTCGCTGTCTCCAAGGTGGCCCTGTAGGCCAGAACTAAGGTTGATTGAATTCCAGTCTGGGTGGCCACCATGAAATTGTTGTAGATCAGCTCCTAGAGCCCCAGCAGCAGTGCTGCAGCCACCACCAATGCCTCCCTGCCCCTATGATCCCACAGCCCATGAGCGCTTCCCTTTCACCAGGATTGCCCCTGCCCCATCTCCCACCCTGCATGTGAAAGCCATGGCCAGCAGCAGTGCTGCCACCCTCTCCTCTGAAGAAATATATTTTCTAAAACAAGTAGTGGCAGGGATGGGATTCAGCCGGTTCGGATCAGTTCAGGCAAACCAGGTGATAATTTTACATCTGGTTTGCTGAACCAGTAGTTGCAAGGACTGGCTGGCCCATCCAACCCTGCTTCTCCCAGGAGTCTCCATGTCACCCAATTTGGATGCCAGGTAAGTGCAGGGCCAGTGGTGAGATTCAGCCAGTTCGCACCTATTCGAGAGAACCAGCTGTTAACTTTCTAAGCAGTTCGGAGAAGCAGTTGTTGAAATAAATTTTATTTTGTTTTTTTCCACTTTACAGGGCTAAGGAAGGCAGGAAGGAAACATTCTGGTTGTTTCTAGCCTAATCTTTATTGCCCTGCTTACAGAAATTGCCTCTCCACTTAACCCTTATTACATTGTAACAGCTCAGGTGAAGCGCCCATCGACCTGAGTGACGTTGAGTTCACCACGCCCACTCAGTCACATGACCACTGAGCCACACCTACAGCTGGTCATTAGGTCTGAGAACCGGTTGTTACATTATTTGAATCCCACCAGTGTGCAGGGCCCACATGAAGGCTCTGGGAGTTTTGGAAACGGGCTCATTTTCATCCTTTGGAGGGCCTCCGGAATCTGGGAGAGGACGTTTTCACCTCCCAGTGGCTCGAGGAAGGTCTCCAGAGCCTGGAGAGGCCCAAAAATGGGCCTCCTGGAAGTTCTGGGTGTCCAGAAACAGGCCCATTTCTGGCCCCCAGAGGGCCTCCAGAGCCTGGGGGAGGCTGTTTTCCCCCTCCCAGGGGCTCAAGGAAAACCTCTGAAGCTTCTGGAGGGGAAAAATTATCCCCTGCCATGGTGCAGGAGGCTGAGTAGGTCACGCACAACATGGCCACACCTACCCAGCGACCGGGTAGAGAAATGGTTGCTAAACTTTTTGAATCCCACTCCTGAGTAGAGATTATATCAGCTGCTCCTCTGAGACATAACAAGGGTTAGGGCTAAGGTTAGTTCCATAAGAGGAATAGTTCTACAACATAATACTGTGAAAATACGTTCAGTCTTTCTACTTCTTAGGCTCCCATATTGATCTTCCTTGAGAGAGATTCATCTGAAATGATGCATTTTAATAAGCTGCTGATTTTAACCAAATATTCAAATATATTGAAATGAAATAACATCATTTAAGTAGAGATTAGCTTTGACTGGATTATGCCACATGTAGCATTCTTTATGCATCACGAGGCTTGAATACATTCAATAGAAGCTTCATCTCTGGATCTCAAGTAAAAAAATAAGTACTACTACTACTCAAAAGCAGCTGCAATAAAGAACTGAGTGAAGACCCTTTTAAACAAGTCTTAGTATAGCTAAATACCTTATTTTTTACTCATGCTTCTGATTTTTGCTACTGAATTTCAGGTTAGTATTTTTTGCTGACATTCAGCAAAAGGAAGACATTGTTCTTTATTGTTAGCGTATTTTGTAAAACAGTGTTCTTTCTATCTTGCATTTTCAACATATGAGTAGATAGGCATTCCACAATACTTACATTATCTATAGCAATAGCACTTAGACTGACAGTATATATTGCTCCATAGTGCTTTTACAGCCCACTCTAACCAGTTTACAGAGTCAGCATATTGCCCCCAATAATCTGGGCCCTCATTTTACCCACCTCAGAAGAATGGAAGGCTGAGTCAACCCTGAGCCGATGAGAATTGAACTGCTGAATGGCAGCTAGCAGTCAGCTGAAATAGCCTGCAATACTGCATCTTAACCACTGTGCCACCTTAAACATAAGCTCAGAACATCATTTCAAGGTGATGGATCATGGAGGTGCAAGAAAGAGGTTGGAATATATAAACATATGTAGTGAGATTGTGATAGTGCACAAAAAATATGTGACATGGTGCTTAGAGAAATTAGAGCACTGTTGAATGTAAATCTAGAGATGTCACCGAGGATTGCATTATGGTGGCTGGTGGAAAAATGGGATACAAATGAAACAAAAAAGCAATTGTTTGTAAAATTGATAATGGCAGCTAGATTAGTGATGGCTAAATATTGGGGATGAAATTGGGATATTCAAAGAAATGAGTGGTATAATGAAATTTGGAGTATGGCAACAAATGATAAATTAGCAACAGAAATTAAACTTTTAAAAGGGATGATTGAAGTAAATAATTATAATGAAATATGGGGGGATTTTATAAAATCAGTGTTGGTGGAAGATAACGGGAAAAAATCTACTCAAGAATGTATGTTGTTTTGGAGGGGATAAGGGCACAATTGGAATATATTGTGTATCTAAGAAATATAGGGGGGAAAGGTCTCCAGGGGATGGGGGTACACTGTAATATGTGGTTTCCCCCTTTTTTCTTTTTTCTTTCTTTTTCCCCAGTTATATATGTACTGTTTGTATTATTTGTGTTTTTAAAAATTTATTTAAAAAAAGGTGGATCATAAAGAAATGTTTGTTACAATTCAGTTACAAGACACGCCAAACTATAGGAAGCAAGTGAGTTACCTGTCTTAGGAGATTCCACGGAGCCGTAGAAAAATTCCCATTTGGCCTTGGCAACACGCTGGGCATGGGCTGAGCTTTCATGTGAATATGCCCACAAGCTTCGCTGCAAAAAGGACAGAGAATTTTATTTAGGAGGATCCAGCTTTAGACATAACATTTTGGCCCGAAAATATTTGGTCTTACTAAGTACCTGGTACAGAGGTAGTATTCAGCCGGTTCTAACCAGTTCTGGAGAACCGGTAGCAGAAATTTTGAGTAGTCCGGAGAACCGGTAAATACCACCTCTGGCTGGCCCCACTCCCATCTATTCTTTGCCTCCGGAGTCCTAGCTGATTGGGAGGAAATTGGGATTTTGCAGTATCCTTCCTCTGGAATGGGAATTTTGCAGTATCCTTCCCCTGGAGTGGGGAGGGAATGGGGATTTTGCAGTATCCTTCCCCTGCCACACCCACAAAGCCACGCCCACTGATCCATGCCACACCCATCAAGCCACATCCACAGAACCAGTAGTAAAACATTTTGAATCCCACCACTCACCTGGTACTGTGGTTCCTTGCTCTGTGGGTGTCTTCGATGGCACAAGAGATCATTTGACAGACTGCTCATCTCACCAGTGAGGGAACTGGGAGGGGACCTGGCACCAAGAGGAAGTGGGGTTCCATTACCCCAACTCAAAGAGGGCTGTGTATTTAAAAGAAACCTGTTTCCAGCAAGAAGTGGGTCTGAAGCAGATATTTCTGGTTTTGGCTTAAACCCAAGACACTCCTGCTTACTATTGAGAACCCCTGGGTCCTGTTCACCGGTAGTGGTCAAAGAGGATTTATCTTTCTGTACTTTGCAGCTCATCCCGTTATCCAGAATGACAGGATTGAGGGATGCTGTGACTTTGTGCTGTAAGGAAGGCTGCATCTGAACATTTGTCTTTTGGCTCCTTTGCTTATTGGCCTCAAAGTGAAAATCCTCTCCGGATTCCAAACTTCTGCTCAAACCATTTTCCTTTCCGGATTCTATCAGCGGGAAGCCATTTAAAGTTTTCACACTGGCCTTCTCAATAAAGCGGAAGGTCACCACAGAACTTTGACCCCCAGTGGCTGGGACAGCCAAGGGGACTTGATTGCCTGAGGGACAGGGGGAACTTCTCAACGGAGTACATGGAGCGGTTACCCTTCCTGAGATGGGACAGCTGCCGCTTCCAAAGTTGCTCATCTTGATTATCTTCTGGGTTAGGGAGCCCGTGCTGTTATATATGCCAAGCTGAGATCGCAGGGGTTCAGACGTCAGTCCCTTGCGGAAGAGGTGGATCCTGCCAGCATTGGGTGAGAGATCGTGATAAGGATGAAAAGAAACAGGCATCGCATTCTTGGATGCAGGAAGCTGTCGTGTCTTCTCCATTGCTTGGACATAGTGTTGGCATGGCATCGCATGGTTAGGATGGAAGCCCATAACTGCTCCATCCTGGGACATTTTGGAAGAACAAGTTGGAGCAAAAAGGGAAAAGAACCAGCAACAGAAGCTATTTTTCAAATGTCAAGTTGGTAAAGGAGAAGTCGCAGCATCACATGGCCCTGAAACAGACAAAGAGAGAGAGCAAGATCTCATAAACATTTTGGTACAAGACACACCAAACCAAAGGTGGGTTCCGACCGGTTCGGACCGGTTCAGCCAAACTGATAGTAACCTGGCAGCCTGGGTCGTTTGAACCAACAGTGACCCAGCCCTGCCACAACCCTGAACTGGTTCTCCTATGGAGCTGTGCCATCTTGATTTTTGGTTCTGTGCAAAAAGTTTTGTGTGCTGAACTGGCAGTAATGACGGCAGCAACTCACACCTGAACCAGACCAAAGGAAGCAGGTTGTACCACATATTCAGTGGTGAAATTCAATTTTTTTTACTACGGGTTCTGTGGGCGTGGCTTGGTGGGCATGGCAGGGGAAGGATACTGCAAAATCTCCATTCCCACCCCACTCTGTGGCCAGCCATAGGTGGCATTTAACAGTTCTCCCAACTACTCAAAATTCTTGTTATCGGTTCTCCAGAACCAGTCAGAACCGGCTGAATTTCACCCCTGCCCGTATCATGTAGAAACAAGAGCACAAAAGATGACATTTGATATCCATTTCAACACTATATTTTATTGTGAGACTCCCCCCTCCCTTTATCTTGTTTTTTTTCTTACTAATAGCATAAAATTATAGAAATATTGAATTGGAAGAAATTGTTTACACCATCAAGCTCAACCCATAGCCAGTGTAGGAATCCAAATTAAAATAACTTAGACAGGTATCTGTGTAGCTTCTATTTGAATATATCCAATGAATACATTTGTTTGCTCTCTGGATAACCATTTCCATAATTAAACTACTTTTAATGCTAAGATTCTCTCTCCCCCGCACCCCTGGAATTCTGTTACAATTGGCCTTCCTGTTAGGTCTACTATTTTATATCCAATGCTCCGGAACTAGAGAAAGCAGGGCTTTCAATTGGTTTGCCAATTGCCCAGTGGCAGATAGGACAGCACTCCACAGGGTCAACATCATTGCCCAGAGGATCATTAGTTGCTCTCTCCCCTCTTTGGAAGAGCTTTATAGCTCCTGCTGCCTTAAGAAAGTACAAAACATTCTTAAAGATCCATCTCATTCTGGGCACCTTTTTTTTGAACTATTACCATCTGGCAGACGGTACAGGATAATAAAAACAAGGACAAATAGGCTGAAAAACAGCTTCTATCCCAGAGCAGTAACTATATTGAATTCTATTGTATATTGCAATATTGGGTTTTCAATTTCAATTATATAGAAATGTTTGTGTTTTTATTTTTATAGTTATAATGTACACTGAAGATGGCATTTATTTTTGTTGTACCATGTGCAATGACAATAAACTAAACTAAACTAAACCTAATTTTCTCTATGACATTCTTGCAGGTATCTAAACAATACAATGAGGTGTAATCTGTCCATAACAGAATAAAATGGAATAATTACTTCTTGTGATTAGAAATTAACTTCTATTGTAGCCTAACAATTCCTTTAACTTCACTTTTTGCAACCATACAACACTACTGTCTCTTATTCAGTCTGTAATAAACTGCAATTCCTAGATCATTTTGCAGGTGTACTTACACAACCAGAATTCACCCATTCGTTATACCAATGACTTTGGTTTCCTGACTGAAATATATATATATATTTGTTAAAGTTGATCTTGTTACCATTTTTTCAACATTTTATTTGCCTTCTCTTAAGTATCCCACACAATTTTGGGTCATTTCCAAATCTGATAAAAAATTCCCTCCACCTACATATCAGAGGCATTGTTTACATTACAGGATTGAAATGTAGGGGGAAATATGACTGATACTTGCTTCTAGTTTAATGAAGAACCGTTGATCAATGCTCTGAATCATTTCTGAAACAACTATCATATTTTTCGCTCTATAAGAGGCACTTTCCTCCCCCAAAAGTGGGTGGAAAGTCTGTGCGTCTTATAGAGTAAATGTTGCCAAAGCCCTGCGCACCCGCCGGCCCCCACCCTTCGGCCTCTGCCTCCCAGCAATTTGCCTCCTTGCAGCAAACAGCAAACAGCCTGGTCAGCTTCAGCACGGCCTGATTTAGCATGAGCAGCTGATTGGTGGTTGGATCAACCACCTAGAATACCACCGATCAGCTGTTCTAGGCTGTGGGGATCGCTGCTACCCACCACTGCCTCCGCATGCCCCATTTTTGGCCTCCGCACATCCTGTTTTTGGCCCATTCCAGGCACCATTCCAGAAACTGCTCAACATTCTGGTCATGAGATTCATCCCGCCAAGTTTCATTAATGACATCTATCATATCTGCTTACATGTACTAATGCTTCAATTTCGCCCTGTTTGTTCCCTAAACTTTGAACATTAGTATATAGGCATTTGAGACTTTTATGGGTATGTTTCTTGTATTTCCTATTTTGTAACTGAGATTTCCATCCTTTCCATCATTCTCTACTTCATTAAGTTTTTCTTTTTTTATTTGTTGTTTTTCTTTACTCCCTTCCTCCTTATGTGATTGGTTATTAATTGGTTTTTGCTTGGAATTAGGTTCTAAGGTTTGCGAAGATTGCCACCCTCCCCCCGTCAATTTTAGTTTAAAGCCATTTTGATAAGATGAGCCAGTCATTTTCTAAATATATTCTTTCCAGTTCTTGTGAGGTGCAGTCCATCCCTTGCCAGTAGCCCTTCATGTAGGTCTTGCAGACCATGATCTAGGAAGCTAAAGTTCTGTTGACAACTCCAGTCTTTAAGCCATTGGTTCAGTTCTAAAATCCTTTGGCCCCTCATTGGATGTTGGCCTTTTGTTGGAAGTATAGATGAAAACATCACTTGTGCTCCTAATTCTTTAACTTTCTGCCCTAGCTGTTTGTAATCTCTTGTTATTTCCAGATTCATTGCTGTGTCATTAGTCCCCATGTGTAGGAGAAGAAAGAGGTAGTAATCCATAGGGTTGATTATTTTAGTAAGGTACCCAATTACATCTTTTATTTTTGCTCTAGGGAGACCATATAAATCCCTAGATTGATTGACTGGTTTGCAGACTATACTTTCTGTTCCCCTAAGAATTGAATCTCCTATCACCAATATTTGTCTTTTGTCCCCCTAGGGATACTTTTCTTCTTGTTAGAGGAATGCTGGGTTGTGCCTCTTTTTAAAGAAACTATTGATGAATGCTCTTTTGTGAGTGTCTGCATATTTTCTTCCCAGGGGAGGTTATGAAAGCAATTGTTTAGTTCCAGAGGGACTTCATTGGAGTGCGCCAGGGTAGATAGTAGGGGCTTTGCTCTTGGTGGTTGTTTTCTTCTACCGTGTTTCCCCAAAAATAAGACAAGGTCTTATTTTCTTTTAACCCCCAAAATATTTCGGGGAGGTCTTATTATTTTTGAGGTGCAGGAAGTGGAGAGCGTAATCACCTCATGGCTGCTGTTGTCTTGCAATATTTTTGGGGAGGGCTTATTTTAAGGGGAGGGCTTATTTGAGTGCATGCGCACAAAAGCCCGACTGGGCTTATTATCTGGGGTGGTCTTATTTTCAGGGAAACAGGGTAAAAGTGACATGTTTCCATGGGTCTTGCTCTTTAGGTACCTATGTAGCCTAGCTTTTTTAATAGAAGCTGCTTGTTCTCTATTGTGTTCAATTTGGGTGTATTGGTTTTCCTTTTTATGTTCATATATGGGTTCATTTTTTTTAAAGAAGATGTTTGTTCCCTATTGTGTTTTATTTTGGTGTAGTTTTCTTGTTTAGATGTTTAAGACGCTAGAAAGAGTGCAGAGAAGAGCAACAAAATGGTTAGGGGATAAGAGAGTAAAACATGAATGATTGCAGGGATTGGGTAGTTTAATGAAAAAGAAGAACTGGGAGTGACATGACAGCAGTGCTACAATACCTAGGGGGCTGCCATAAAGGTAAACCTATTCTCCAAAGCCCCTAATGGCAGGACAAGAAGCAATGCATGGAAACTAATCAAGGAGAGAACTGACTTAGAAATAAAAAGACATTTATTAACAGAACAATTAATCAGTGGGATGGCTTACCTTCAGAGGTTGTGTGTGCTCCAATGCTGGAAATTTTAAAGACAAAATTGGACAGCCATTTGTGTGAAATGGTGTAGGGTCTCCTGCTTGAGCAGGAATTTGGATTAGAAGACCTCTAATGTCCCTTCCAACCTTTATTCTGTTACATGCACAGCATAAATACTCTTGGTTAAGCTACAAAAAAGGGGGGGGGAAGCAGGGAGGATGTTGCCACCTATCCACACCTAAGGAATTCACTTGAGTTAACAGAGATGCTTTCTTTGGGTGGGGGAGTAGAGAGCCTCTCTAGGATAGTAATAGTAACAGCACTTAGTTATATACCACTTCACAGTGCTTTACAGCACTCTCTAAGTGGTGTACAGAGTCAGCATATTGGCCCCAACAATGTGGGTCCTTATTTCACTGATCTCAGAAGGATGGAAGGTTGAGTGAACCTTGAGCCAATCAGGACTGAACTCGTAGCAATGGGCTGAATTAGCCTGCAATATTGCATTCTAACCACTGTGCCACAAGAGCTCCCTCCCACCCTTCCTTCCAACACAAAAACAGATATGTGGGTAGATTAGATAGAATAGATAGATAGATAGATAGATAGATAGATAGATAGATAGATAGATAGATAGAT